ATGTTAATTATAGCTTATATATTGAATTTAATTTATCAATATAACAAATCAAAATGTTTTTGTAGTTTAACACACAAGAGTCATCATTAACTATGTATTACTAACACATTAATCATAACTTTATTTTGAACTTTATGTTTATTTATGAACAGTTTGTGATAAAATTTCAATACACTGATAAGATGAGATGAGATGAGATAAAATAAGATCTGTTTATAGTGACACTAATTTTAGCTTTATTGCTTTATTTATTTTTTTTATTTTATTTATTTTATTTTTTTTTAAATATAACTTTACATGTTAACATTCGATTATATCAAATTTTACTTAACGTGTACAAAGCTATAAATAGGCTGCATGTAATATAAAAAATTATAAAATGCATTTTGAAATATAATATTACAAAATACCTGACAAAAAAAAAAAGGTAGACAAAAATGTTGTTTATTGGTCTATGAGCAAATTGCACATGCACGCGTTCATTTTTGTTTGTAAATTGTAATTGTAATCTTTATGTCACAATTTAAATTGTCGCTCTTCCGTTTTCGTTGCTTTTCACGGTCTGTCGTTCCTCCTTTGGTTGGACAGTTTGGTGGTTTTTGTTGTCCAACTTTGTGTCATCTATTATAACGTTTGCTACAATTGTTTTCTATATGAAAGCGTATTTGAAGATTCTGGTTAATCTTTTGATTATATCATAATCTATTCTTAGACAATAAAGACGTCTGGCTCTGCCAGACATTATCAATCGAATTTCTGTGTTTGTATTAACTCTACTGATTATGACACAAAATAACAAGGAGGAACATGTACCGTGGTAATAGTAAAACATAAAATCGTAATTTATATCGCATATAAATTCGTTTATGTTTTATTAGTAACCATCACCAATTTCTTTAAGATATGTATTTCAAGCCTATACTGTAACGTTAATTAATCTGTTCCATATGTCTGGAATTTACAACTGTATATTTCTTTGATCTTATGACTGCACAATAACAGCAGGAGGTGCGCAAATTGTACACTTTCACATGGGAAGTGAGACTAAGTTGTAATGAATCACGCAAAACCCTTTCATTCTTTGAAATGCGCGCTATTGACAACTTCTATACAGTACCATTTTCTTTGAAATGGAATAACATTTGTAGTTAAATACTGCAATACTTATATATATATTATATTCTTTTTTCTTCCCTTACCTCCCCTCCACCCACCGGAACTAGAAGTGAGATAAATAACTTCATTTAACTTGGATATTTTGTATTTTAATGGAATAGTTTTTGTAGTCTCTATGTATCACATTGGACTTTACCTGTATAAGTTTCCTTTTGTTTTTGTTTTACTTTATATTTTTGCATAATATTATCAGCCTACTAACTTGAAGTTAAAGGTTTGTAAAATATTTTTCAAGGATGTAGCCCTACATCAAGTGGTTCTAGACACAAGATAAAAGGGCACAGGTTTCCATAACATGGTTTTTCCTGGGCGAGTCGACCACGATTTGAGAAATATTTTATGAACAGTACTTTATATTATATATACAATATATCTATTTATATATATGTTGGGCGTGTTTGTTGTCCAACTTTATGTCATCTATTATAACGTTTGTTAGGTGGTTTTTGTTGTCCAACTTTGTGTCATCTATTATAACGTTTGCTGGTTTTTGTTGTCCAACTTTGTGTCATCTATTATAACGTTTGCTACAATTGTTTTCTATATGAAAGCGTATTTGAAGATTCTGGTTAATCTTTTGATTATATCATAATCTATTCTTAGACAATAAAGACGTCTGGCTCTGCCAGACATTATCAATCGAATTTCTGTGTTTGTATTAACTCTACTGATTATGACACAAATTAACAAGGAGGAACATGTACCGTGGTAATAGTAAAACATAAAAATATTAAAGAATAAGAAGCTTTAAAAAGCAAAACAAAAAAAACGCATATATATACGAATGACTTACAGTCGAGCATCGGAAATTCATCAACATATCTTACGAAATTTTAATTTGAAAACGATATTTGCGCGCGCTGAAGTGATTAATGTTTATTTGAATAAATCAAATAAAAGAACTTTTCATTTTACAACACTTGAAAAATTACTACAGAAAATATGTTTTGTTTTTGTTTTGTTTTCAACAAAAGTGTGTGTGTTTTAAGTTCATTTATTCTCGGCGCCGGAATAACCATATGTCCGAGATTATAGCATCGGGGACGTCTTTTTCAAGCAGAATCTTCCTGGTAGCCCATTCTTCGTTCGTTAGTGGTAAAGGAGACGACAGTACTGTCAAAGCATCAACTTCCTGACTGACGACAACAAAAACGGCATTCATTAGCGCCAAACCTCCAGAGTAAGTTACGACAGGTCAACCAATCACCTCTGGTACTTGAGATGACTTGACCTTGACCTGCCGTGTGCCTTCTCCGCGACGTGCATACCTCTGGAAGAATTTGGAGAAGTTTCAACAAAAACCTCCCAAACACGCTATTTATAACACCATTCATAGCACACTGACGCTTCGATGTTCTCATCTATTTGCGGGAAATGGTCGACATGGAAAACCCTACGTAATAATTTCCGCAGTATATATTTCAAGCTAGTGAGGTTTAAAATCTATCGATTAACTACCATAAGTTGGTTGGGTGTTGGCGGTAAAAAAAGAAGATATAACTTCCTGATCAATTTTCACTTAGGTTGATTCAATTTTGAATAAGCTTTACAGATATTTTTTTTCAAGAAATATTTAGCTTTAATATTATCCGAAGCCGTCAAAGTCAGCGACGAGTAATGAAATGGGAATAATTTTCTGAAACGTGATTTTATTCGAGATTTGCTTCGGGAGAAGAGAACGTTCTGTCTCCGTAGAGCATGAATATTAATACTCATCACAAGACAGTGTCTTATTGATCTCAATTATGGTACATGTAAATATGTTTATTTTTTATGTTCAATTAAAATGTTGCTTAACTTGCAGATGTTATTATCATTCAATGATATTAAAATGACATAAAGTATTTATGATGAACAGTCCTAGAATATTTTGATAAGGAACCGTCAGTTGTAAAATGGTATTATGATCTTATAATGAACAATCGTCATACCTGCTGGTATGTCATTTATAAATGGTTTTTAGGTTTTTCAAAATTTGCATGATTAACAGTCCGAATGTAGACCTCAATGAAATGTTCTGGAATATTAACAAAATGAATAGTCAACCATATTAACCATATTTATGAATGGTTGAACGATAAATGGCGCAATGTGCATATCTTCTTATTTAACAGCACATTGTAAGCAAAAAGAAAAGAAACTATAAGTCTGAAACATTCTGTCATAGCCTCCCCATCAGTACATTCAGTGCTTTGATTTAATATACAACTGATTCAAAAGTGATGTCAAACTGTTAGTTGCTGGTCTCATTGTTTATACAACTAATTAGGTGACGAGATTACTGTTAACACCACAATAACATATTAAAGTTTGTTTAATGGCTACTGTTTAATAAATTAATAAATAATTTAAAAGAATAATTAAATTATACACATTTGTTTTGCATTTCAGAGTTTTAGGCTTACAAAAATTATAGATATATTTAATATATTGTTATTTTTGTTACTTTTAAAAATATTAATTGAATAAAAATATTTGATATCAAATAAATGACATTATTCCATATGGCTTTTTTTTATATATCAAAGTCCTAATGAAAATAGTATTCTCAAGGATAAGCATAGTATGTCTTAAAGTATAGTATATATTAATATTCCTTTATAATAATTATGTGTTTTGTGATTCATAGCAAACCATATCTTCATCATAACGTTGACATTTTTCAATGTAACAAAAATGAAACAGGATGTTTATTACAGAATTTGTACACTGTCAGTGCATGAAATATTGTATAATTAAGTTCAGGTCTTAGAAACATTTAATTGCTTATTTACAACAGAAAAACATACATATGTTATATTTTTAGCTTACCTGAGGACAATTTCCTCAAGGTGAGCTTTTGTGATGGCCTATTGTCCATCGTCCGTCCGTCAGTCCGTCCGTCCGTGCGACCGTGCGTCAACAATTTTTTTAAACAACTTCTTCACGTAAACCACTTGGTCAAGTTTGTTGAAACATTGCAGGAATGTTCTTTGCATGAAGCTGTACCATTACTCCTTACTCAATCAAAATGAAAAAAATACATTTCGTGTTATCTTCCTACCAAATATGAAAAACTTCTTTCAATTGATAAAGTATGTATGGGCAAAAATGTAGAAATCTATTTTTAGCACTGGCACTTTGATCTAAATTACCTCTAACTTAACCCAAAGAAAACGTCCTTCTTCACATATCTGTATTAATACGAAAGACATCGATATAAAAATAAAGGCTGTATGAGCACACATTTCTAAGTTAAATTTTCACATCAATGACCTTGACCTCGACACCAATAACCCTTACTCCAAAAATAATTAGAGGACCAATAAAGATATCTCCCTACTAAATGTGGAAGATTTCATTATTACATTAAGTATTTAGGAAAATTTAAGATGAAATCAAACTTGCTAGAAAAGTTTAACCATATAAGGCCATATTTTCAAAGAGATAAAAAAGGAAATAAATGCGAAAAATGGATGGCAAAGTTTAATATCTTAGCAATATCATGTACTTTGTATCGGTAAGTAAGTGTGGAAATTATAAAGTCATCAGTATAGGCAGAACTTAAGATATATCCAATTTACCGGATTGGATTAACCATATCCATTTTCAAAGTGCTGAAAAGGGCAGTAACTTGGAAAAATAGAAGTATAGTTATGTAACTGGTCCAGACTATGTACTTTGCATTGATTAGTATATGTGTAAATTATTAAGCCATTCCATTGGTACAAGTAGAACGTATGAAAAAAAAACAACTTTAATTGCTGTAAAATGCATTTTTACAGATATAAACACTATGACATATACCTTTAATTCGATTATAAATTATTCAAATGAGAGTTTACCTTGATACTGTTGGTTTTGTTCCGTAAGTGTGTCAACTTTATCTTGTAGATGAATTGATCTTTCAGTCAGAGTGGGTAGTTCGTCACCTAGTTGACCCTTCAGGCGTTCGATTTCTTCTGCAAAATGTACAAATCTTTCATTTACAATAAATTTGATATCATTAAATATTTGATATTCTTGACTTCACATATCATAATTAGGTCCATTTTCCACTGCGCAATAGTCAATGATGTATCAAAGGTGTCCAGCTAACATTATAGAGTACTGGATTCCGAACATCTACCTGACAAAAACCGAACTCTTCTTAATGTGCCTAACAAAAAATAAACGGGACAGACATTATTTAATATTTTTTAACTTTTTTAGCCAATCTGAATGTAGCGATTAGTGAGGCCCGAAAAAGCAAGAAAGCTTTGTATTATATTTCAGAGGAGACCATCTAAAGATTATTTATTGAGTATGTATATTCTTAGGTTTTGGTAACAAACATTCGCATGTTCTAAATTGATATGCTTCTATTAGGGGGTCTTTTCCCTTAGTTTTTTTAAAAAAAAACCCAGCACTTTAAAAAGGGGGCCCGGGGCCCGGTTTGAAAAAAAAACTCTTTTTAAATGATAGAAAAGACACTGACGGGATAAATCATTATTCAATCTTCATATGATTTTATATTTTGTACAATATCGTAATCAGATCACAGTTTGTTATGATTAAAGGGTTTGAAGCTAAACGTGATGAAATATTTTCATTGAATCGAAGGCCGAAAGAATTGTAACATAGAATGTTTCTGGTATTTAACGCACATGAAAACTTTGCCTGAAAAGGATAAATGTTTCGGAACAAAACTTAACGCTGTTATTTTAAGCAGGTTTTGCCGTTTTGCAATGGTTTCCAGCTTGTGCAATACGCTTAACAGGAACTTTATCAATATATCTTTTATATACGAGGGTTAGTTATATAAGTCGGGACACGAGATAGTTAAGTGGTTCGCACGAGTAACTGAGTCGTGGCCACGAGTTGCTATGTCATGCGCACGAGTTAATTAAGTCATGGGCCCCGAGTTTACTATTTAGTGAGAACAAACTTTAATTGTGTAAACCCAGCTGCAAAAAAGACTGATTTTATAAATTTTTTTTTAAAATTTTTGAAAGTTTAAAAAAAATCGACATTAAACCTTTGAAACAAACTGAACTTTTTTCATTAAATTTTGTAAGCTTTTTTTCAACAAAAAATTTTTTCCCGAAAAAATAAAAAGCGGGTTTAAATTTGGGTTTCCGGCAGCGCAATCCGTTTCCAAAAAAAAAAACAATAATGTTGGTTTTTAAATTTAAAGAAACATAAAAATAATACTATTCCAGAAATTTAAAAGCACAACATATTATGCTTAAATAATAAAAAAATCTAAATGCTTCGCTTACAAATAATTTTCTTCTTTTTTATTACCTCCCTTTACACTTGTAATATCTAAATAACAAGAATAAAGATCAACAAGACAAAGGCAACGTTCACAGGACGCTGCCCCCGGTCACACCTATGTAGGGCACCCAGAAGGCACCAAACAAAAACCCGGAGTGGACACAAGGGCGAAAGGTGTGGGACACGTAATGTGAAATAATATAAACCAAAACGGGCCCATAAGGGAATTAAAGGGATAAGGGCTGTACGGGTTTGAAAAGGTTTGGGAGGGGGGGGGGTTAAAAATGGAGAGGGGGGGGGGAAGAGAAAATACCTACGTCAACGACAATCTTTAAAAAGACAGACATCACAAAACATATAGACATCCAAAAACAAGTAACAATACAGACAAGAAAAACACGTGAAGGAACACAAAGGGGTAAATTTGCCTTTTGGAACGGCACGTCAGTGGTAGTTAAAGCAAACTGGGAATTTAAACCGGTTTAGGCGCGCCAAACCTCATTCTTTAGCCCTAATTGATGTTTTCCTGAATGACACGAAAATGTATATAAAATTTATCCCCGCCAAGTGAAATTCTAACAATGGTCATGGTTACATTAGACGAAATCAATAAAACACATACAAAATTATGTAAATATGTAGAAAAAGTCTGAGGTATTCCAAAACTGGGCTCGCTCTGCACATCATCTCATTGTGATAAACATTTTTGCCAAGTAGTTACAATTTCTTTCCACTGGTTCAAAAAATAATATTACAGACTGGACACGAAAACTCATATATAAGACTATGTAAATGAATTTATCCCCTTGTATGGGCAAACTTTAATTCTACTAAATCCAAACTTGTGTTCTGCACACCGTCTCCATATAAGTAATTTTTCTACCAACAAGGTTTTAAATTTCTTTCTATCGGTTCAAAAGATACAGAGCGGACAAAAACTCTTCATATTGAAACGAAATCACTAAGTGTGACCTTTACCTTGAACTGAGTAAGGTCAAACCTGCAATCTGCACTTCGTCTCATTATGGAACATTTCTGCCAAGCAGTTTGAATTTCCTTCCACTGGTTCAAAAGATACAACCGGACACAAAAACTCCAATAAGTCTATATAAATCAATAAATCCCCGGGGTGTGGTCAATCTCATTTATAGGAAGTCTAAAAGTGTGTTCTGCACACCGTCTACATACAAGTAATATTTATGTAAAATGACGGACGGACGGACAACCAGGTGCATAACAATATATGCCGAAATTCTTTCGGGCGTATAAAGAGAGAGGAAGTATTTTATCAAGTGAAACAAGTTAACTGATTCCAAATAGTGCCATTTCAGCAATTATGACAGGAGTCTATAGGACCATGCTACATACCAAATATCAAACGTCTAGAAGAATTTACAAAAATTGATTAAATACCTCAGCTCTAGGCTCTGCCCTTTTGGATCCAGAGAAGAGCTTAAAAATGCAATAATGCTTTTTAAAAACTTCTTTTAACTTTTTTTTATATAGAAGTTCATGATGCTTGCTAATTGCATTGATAATTTAATTCTGGCAGAATTAAAGTGACTATTCGTTTTGATTACCTCAGTTTATATAACCTGTTTACGTTGTTGATTTTGATATCAAACTAAAAAAGTGTCTCATTTACCACTTTTATTGATTTAGATTTATATTAATCATCACATACGTTTTTGTCATTGTTTCAAAAATAATAATCCTAGTCAATATTAAGATACATATTCCATGATATTTTTCAAGTTCTTGTTTGGTCTCAACTTATGTCTGAAATATGAAATGCTCTTTAAAAGACAGGATAAACCCACACATGACTCTACTTACTGGTTAGATGTGTTAATTTTTCTTGCAATTGGTCTATAGCAGACTCCTTTTTGGGCACAACAGTATTGTTAAGATTATCTAGTTGCTGGGAAGCTTCAGAATACTTAACCTCGTACATCTTCAGTTGCTGGACCTGCTCAGCAAGATGCAGACATTTTTGTCGTGACTCTTTTAGTTCATCTGTAATGAAGTTAGTTATAACATACAAACGCCTTAATATTTTTTAAATGTTTACTGAATAAAGCCTACATCCTCTCACGGTGATAATACGAGTATATTAAGCTCTTTGAAGTTGTGACACAAACATTTAAAGCTTAAATATTAGAATGAATCAATAAATGAACACATTAAAACAAACAAAACTCACCATCCAATATTTGTTTCTGCTGACATATTTGATCTAAATGCTTTTGTTTTTGTGTCGTGGTAGTTTCACTTTTTTCTAATAGTTCCTTTTTAGATTTTAAATCACCTGTAAATTAAAACCTAAATTATTTTCCATTTTGTACGTAACGATATTATATATTGTGACCATGAACTTTCGTATTTCTCTTGAAACACGACAATATGTGCTTTAACATTTAAGATCTTATATATTTGATATAATGTAACTACAGTTAAATGGTACTGAATAGACTGATTAAATAATTCATCAAACTTTGTTATTTGTCATTGAAAGTTCAGACGACATTTAATTGTTTGTTCAACATAAAATACCTTTTGCACTTTGAAGTTGCAATTTGAGATGCATGTTTTCTTGTTTAACTTCATCTGCAAACATATAATATACGATTTTATAAAGAAAAAACTAAATTTGAAGGAAAACCGCATTGAATGTTACGAAAATTACATGTTAAAATAAATGGTTAAATCCGAAGTTACATTGCTTTATATGAAAAGGATATGTAGTGTATAATAAAAATATATAATCTGTAATTATTACATATGATACTCACCAATCTGAGCCTTTTTTCAAGAAATATTTAGCTTCAATATTATCCGAAGCCGTCAAAGTCAGCGACGAGTAATGAAATGGGAATAATTTTCTGAAACGTGATTTTATTCGAGATTTGCTTCGGGAGAAGAGAACGTTCTGTCTCCGTAGAGCATGAATATTAATACTCATCACAAGACAGTGTCTTATTGATTCTTCAATTTGGTACATGTAAATATGTTTATTTTTTATTGTTCAATTAAAATGTTGCTTAACTTGCAGATGTTATTTCATCATTCAATGATATTAAAATGACATAAAGTATTTATGATGAACAGTCCTAGAATATTTTGATAAGGAAACCGTCAGTTGTAAAATGGTATTATGATCTTATAAATGAACAATCGTCATACCTGCTGGTATGTCATTTATAAATGGTTTTTTAGGTTTTTTTTTCAAAATTTTTGCATGATTAACAGTCCGAATGTAGACCTCAATGAAATGTTCTGGAATATTAAACAAAATGAATAGTCAAACCATATTAACCATATTTATGAATGGATTGAACGATAAATGGCTGCAATGGCATATTCTTTCTTATTTAACAGCACATTTTAAGCAAAAAGAAAAGAAACTATAAGTCTGAAACATTCTGTCATAGCCTCCCCATCAGTCATTCAGTGGCTTTGATTTAATATACAACTGATTCAAAGTGATGTCCAAACTGTTAGTTGCTGGTCTCATTGTTTATACAACTAATTAGGTGACGAGATTACTGTTAACACCACAATAACATATTAAAGTTTGTTTAATGGCTACTGTTTAATAAAATTAATAAATAATTTAAAGAATAATTAAATTTACAACATTTGTTTTGCATTTTCAGAGTTTTAGGCTTACAAAAATTATAGATATATTTTAATATATTGTTATTTTGTTACTTTTAAAAAAATTAATTGAAAAAAAAATATTTTATTATCAAATAAATGACATTATTCCTATGGCTTTTTTTTTATATATCAAAGTCCTAATGAAAAATAGTATTCTCAAGGATAAGCATAGTAGTCTTAAAGTATAGTATATATTAATATTCCTTTATAATAATTATGTGTTTTTGATTCATAGCAAACCATATCTTCATCATAACGTTGACATTTTTTCAATGTAACAAAAATGAAACAGGATGTTTATTACAGAATTTGTACACTGTCAGTGCATGAAAATATTGTATAATTAAGTTCAGGCTTAGAAACATTTAATTGCTTATTTACAACAGAAAAACATACATATGTTATATTTTTAGCTTACCTAGGACAATTTCCTCAAGGTGAGCTTTTGTGATGGCCTATTGTCCATCGTACCGTCCGTCAGTCCGTCCGTCCGTGCGACCGTGCGTCAACAATTTTTTAAAAAAACTTCTTCACGTAAACCACTTGGTCAAGTTTGTTTGAAACATTGCAGGAATGTTCTTTGCATGAAGCTGTACCATTACTCCTACTCAATCAAAATGAAAAAAAATACATTTCGTTTTATCTTCCTACCAAATATTGAAAAATTCTTTAATTGATAAAAGTATGTATGGGCAAAAATGTAGAAATCTATTTTAGCACTGGCACTTTGATCTAAATTACCTCTAATTTGTCTCATTTACCACTTTTAATTGATTTAGATTTATATTTAATCATCACATTACGTTTTGTCATTGTTTTTCAAAATAAATAATACCTAGTCAATATTAAGATACATATTCCATGATATTTTTCAAAGTTCTTGTTTGGTCTCAACTTATGTCTGAAATATGAAATGTCTTTAAAAAGACAGGATAAACCCACACATGACTCTACTTACTGGTTTAGATGTGTTAATTTTTCTTCAATTGGGGTCTATAGCAGACTCCTTTTTGGGCAACAACAGTATTGTTAAGATTATCTAGTTGCTGGGAAGCTTCAGAATACTTAACCTCGTACATCTTCAGTTGCTGGACCTGCCTCAGCAAGATGCAGACATTTTTGTCGTGACTCTTTTAGTTCATCTGTAATGAAGTTAGTTATAACATACAAACGCCTTAATATTTTTTAAATGTTTACTGAATAAAAGCCTACATCCTCTCACGGTGATAATACGAGTATATTAAGCTCTTTGAAGTTGTGACACAAACATTTAAAGCTTAAATATTAGAATGAATCAATAAATGAACACATTAAAACAAACAAAACTCACCATCCAATATTTGTTTCTGCTGACATATTTGATCTAAATGCTTTTTGTTTTTGTGTCGTGGTAGTTTCACTTTTTTCTAATAGTTCCTTTTTAGATTTTTAAATCACCTGTAAATTAAAACCTAAATTATTTTCCATTTTGTACGTAACGATATTATATATTGTGACCATGAACTTTCGTATTTTCTCTTGAAACACGACAATATGTGCTTTTACATTTAAGATCTTATTATATTTGATATAAAAAAATGTAACTACAGTTAAATGGTACTGAATAGACTGATTAAATAATTCATCAAACTTTGTTATTTGTCATTGAAAGTTCAGACGACATTTAATTGTTTGTTTCAACATAAAATACCTTTTTGCACTTTGAAAGTTGCAATTTGAGAATGCATGTTTTCTTGTTTAACTTCATCTGGCAAACATATAATATACGATTTTATAAAGAAAAAACTAAATTTGAAGAAAACCGCGCATTGAATGTTACGAAAAAATTACATGTTAAAATAAATGGTTTTTAAAATCCGAAAGTTACATTGCTTATATGAAAAGGATATGTAGTGTATTAATAAAAATATATAATCTGTAATTATTACATATGATACTCACCAATCTGAGCCTTAAACTGTAACCATTTCCTCTGTTTTTGCCTTTAGCTGCTCTTCTATATATACTATATGTTTCCCTTGTTCCATTGCTTTTAATGAACCTTCTCTTAATGACGCCAAACTGACCTCAAGTATTTCGATATTGTCTGACAATCATTAAAAAAGCATGCATAAAATGTATACAATGAGAACCAGATTGATGGTACATACGTACATAAAGAATGAAAATTTCATTTTTTTGCTCAATTAAGATATAACTTATCAAATTGATTTTGAAAAAATCTAGTTTTGTTAACTCTATCCCTGTCTTATAACACCATGTTGTGTAGGAATAAAAAGATAGAATATGTACTATTCGTTTGTGAAAAATTGGTGTCTTGATAATGCTGAAATTTGACACTGCTCTTTTGTTAGATATAACGGACACTGCATAACATACTTTATATAAATTAGCGTGATCTTAAATTATTTAAACTTTTAAAGTGGAAGGAAAAAGTGAGGTCACCGATTTCGTGTCCAAGATAACTGTCATGTGCTTGCTTTTGCTTTAATGTCATTATCAGGGCTGGTAACTCATAATTATGTCTATCAAATTTCTTACGGTCTATGTTTTTATATATCATTCGTCGTAAAATAAAAATCTGGTAACAAAGTGATCTCTCGGAAGCATTAATCACAACAAAAACTACTAGAGAATTGCAGACCCGGTTTGATTGAAATTTCATCAAAAGTTTTCATTTTAAAGTTTCATGGAATTCCATATTTTGAGTTACAACTTACAAATACAAAGGCTGTTTGAACACGTGTAATAAAAATTGTGCGCACGAGTGACTTTGACCTTGTAGCTCTAAACTCTGGATTATCCAAGGTATTTTCGTTCCAAAATCTGTGAAACATCAGTCAATAAATAAAGCCTGTGTAAACATATTTGGAGAAATATATCTTTGTCATCCTTGAACTTAACCCATTGACCCCTAACTCAATCCAAGTGAAAAAGATCATGCAACATACCTTTCAACCACATTAAAAATATATTTGTCCAAAAATAAAGGTTGTATGGACAAAAGTGTTCACATTTGATTTAGCACTGATGACCTTGATCAAACCGACCCCTAACTTAATCAAATGGAATTCGAATATGCAAGTTATCATCCTTTCAAATATGAAAAACATTAAGCAAAACATAAAGGTTGTATAAGCAATTGAGCAGAATTCTAGTATTGGCACCATTGACCTTTAGTCATTTACTCCTTACTCAATCAAAAGGAAAAATACAAGTCATGTTATCGTCCTACCAAATACGAAAGACATCTGTCAATAATTAAAGGCTGTATGGGCAAAAATGTAGAAATCTGTTTTTATCCAAATGTCCCCTAACAGGACTCAAAGAAAAAGGACCTCCATCAAATGTCTGTATTCACACGAAAGACATCAATTTAAAACAAAGACTGTATGAGTGAATTAACACCAATGACCTTGACCCCAATAACCCTTTCTTCCAAAAATGTTAGAGGACCAATTCAGGTATTTGCCAACTTAATTTTGGAAGATATCATTAGTTACATGAAGTAATTAAGAGATATCCAAGATAAAATCCAACTTGCTAGAATAGGTAACCATACGAGGTCCTATTTTCAAAGGGAAAAAATGGATAGCACAGTTATATAACTTGGCAATATCATACACTTTGTATTGGTAAGTAAGTGTTGAATTATAAAGTCATAAGTATAGACAGATACATCCAACTTACCGGTTTAGATTAACCAAATCCATTTGCATAGTGCTGAAAATGGCAATAACATGAAAAAATGGAAGCATAGTTATGTTACTGGTCCAGACCATGAACTTTGCATTGATTCGTTAGTGTTTAAATTATAAAGCCAGGCAATTATGGGCATCCCATAGTATAGTATCTCGTGTGCACGAGATAAGTAACTATTTCATGTCTTACTTTTATCATTTTATTTGCATTGTCGGTCTACAAATAACGCGGGTGAGTAAGAAGGGGATTCTCCGCCACCGAGCTTTTGCAAATCTAGGATTTAAAGCTTTTTAATGTACATATGATGTAAAACCTCTATTAATATCAATCATTTAATTTACTTACAGCTTGTTAACGGTTAAATGTACATGAACATTTTACCGTTTAATCGGTTTATTTTGGCAGTTTGTTCACGTTTTGTTTCTTCAAGTCGACTTATTTCTTGAGTTTTTATTGACAGCAGATTATCGGTTAAATTTCTCATTTCTTGATCTTGATGTCGCATAACTCTCTGTAAAATGTTGCACAACTCTTCAATAGACATTCCTTTACCTATCCCAATGTAAGGAAAACAACTATGAAAAATATACGTAGAACATATGCTTAGAATACATAATAAATATCTATAAATAGATTTAACTCCACAAAAAGTGTTTAATACGAGTAAGATTGTTTCATTAAATGTTGAATCAATTTTAAAATTGAATATTCCTTGATAGGAAATGTTCAGAACTTGCCTTTCTCCATAATTCATCAACTACATGCTTGATAGATACATTAATAATATACATAATATATCAATAATAAATGTAATATATCTAAAACAATATATGTAAAAAAAATAACACAAATAAAAGTAAGACTGTTTATGCCTTTTTAATTAATTTTAAGGGTATGTAATATGATAAACAAAATCAACAAGGAAAGGCGACGTTCAATGAACGCAACCCCCACACGACCCAACAGCAAGAGACACCGGCAGGGAGCCAAGGAGGACCCAAAACAAAAACAGGACAGGGCACAAGGAAGAGCACGGATAGGCTAATCACAAAAACGATACGTAAGAAACAATTTGTAAGTGATAAGGAATTAAAAGAAAACAAATAAATGATCGAACAATAGGCCCCGAAAGCCAAAGGGCACAGAGAAAGGGAAGAGGATATTAGGGAAGGGGGGGGGGGGGTAAATTAAAGAAAATAAAACTAGGGGCAAAGGGAAGATACTTGACGTAGACGAGAAAACAAAAAGGGACACACACAAAAGTGTCATCAAAACAGTATGAAACAACAAAGACATATATCTGAGAACACAGAGGGGCGCCGCCTTTGAACGGTCAGCAGCATAAGTACTGCTGGGGAGTTTAAACCGGTTAATGGTGCACCAAACTTCACTCTTAGTCCCACCATGTTCCTATAAACGGAACAGTGTAAATAAAATGAATCCTCGCTAAGTGAAATTCTAACAGTTGTTATGGTTACAAAAGGTGAAATAAGTAAAACACCGGACAGCTCAGGTAGAAACATATAAAGAAAACCCAAATCCATAACAAAAAGAACTCAATGTCCTAAAGTCTTAAAGGAAGACAGAGCAACAAGAAGATCACCTACAAGGGCCCGACGAAGCAAGGCAGATAACGAACATTAAGGCAATTCAGTCCCAAAGTACTTTAAGAACTGCCAATCATAGAGTCTCCCACTTGGTCAGTCAGATGTAATCAAAACAGGAAAGAGTAGCGTCCAACTGTAAAAGGGCTGAACACTAAGCATGCGCTATGTCATAGAATAGTAGGGTCATAACCCCTTTTAATGAAACGTTTAATAATTTTAGTAAAGATAACAGAAAAATAACAATGACCCAAGATCTTACGAAGTTTGAAAATAACATCCCCGTAAAAATCTGGCTGGCTAGTCCCTTGCCGCAGAAGTGGTTCTTTAGATCAATATTGAATTTTGAAATTTAATCACAGTTACGATTGTAAAATTTGGGAAAATATTAGCCCTGTTCAAGTAGCTTGCTAGTTATGAAAATATTTCGCTCGTTAAAATCCGTTACGTTGCTACAAGCTCTAGCGCATCTAATTAACTGAGATATAAAAACCCCATCCAAATGTGAATAATTTACTATGCCAAAATCAAAGTCATCTCTTTTGCCACAAATTTTTGTGTGAATAGATTTGTTTTGATAGTAATATGAAGATCCAAAAATGATATACTTAAATTTCAAGAATTCGTTTTATTAAGTTGTAGGTCAGTAGGATAAATATTAGACACCATTTGATCGAAATAAGAATTATCTAAATTAAAAATGTCATCAAGGTATCTGGAAGTGTTATTAAATGCTAGTATAACATCTTGTTGGGTATTTTCAGAGAGGATCAACATAAAGTCTCTTTCATAGCAATATAAAAACAAATCGGCGACCAGGGGTGCACAATTAGTACCCATGAAGTTATACTCAATGAAATAGTTTTATCAAATTTATAAATGGTATAATTATGATAATTCTATAAACTGATATAACATTCTGAACTCGAAAACATATATCTGTGATATTTTAAGTAGTGTTATGACCATTTAACAATAAGTACAATTCAAACATATTTTCATCATTGCAAACTGCATATAGCAGATGTAAAGCTTTGTAAACATTAACGAAGACTGATTATTTACCTTGCCGGTTTCTTTCTGCATGTTCCTGTACCTCTTTAAACTTCCCTATAAAATAAGATTCATTACGAACAATCAGTACTCAAAAATTAAGTTACCTGCACAGATACAACAAGTTAGTGTTTAGGTGGCATAAAAAAGGGACACACATCCCTGAATGACAAACATGTCCGGCAGAAAATAAGTCCGTGAAAGCGTCAAGCGCCACGTCAATTCAGTTATCCGTTGATACGGATAGGTGTATAAAGGTGCAGGAGCTTACGGAAATTACTGATGTGAGCGTAGGAACTGCACATCGCATACTGACGAAAGATTTTAGCATGAGAAAAGTAAATAAATATTTTTGTGTTGAATAATCCTAATAGAAGTTTAATAGTTTAAGTATAACATATCGGCGTTTTGGATCAAAATAACAAGCATTATGAGTAATAAGAATTCGTTAATTCTGATTTAAAACTTTTATAATTCCTGCTTCAATTTGTATCAGCAAGTAAGAAATGCATTAAGGTTATAAAAAAACAGTATCACCTATCTGCTTTAGTACAATGTATTTATGTATTCGCACCGTTTGACATCGCCATATTCCCAAATATTCAACTTCAATTGAAGGACGCGCTATTTGACATACTGAAAGACCTACAGACTGCAGTAAATGGTATTGTATAGTCAACAACAAGAGAGTGGTATGAAGACATTATCATCAAAAGTGGGTTGCACTCCACCAAAGATGAGTTCTGCATTCGGGAGCATATTTTGAAAAGCCATAAATATGATCATAGCGACGTTAACTGCGCGAACGACGTCGCTGACGTCGCGACATATTGTTGTGCGGGGGCGATAGTGCAAACATGACTTTCTTATAACATTAAAACTGTTTTATGGATTACTTTTGAATTTTTGAGTGTATTCAGAAGTGAATAAACCTTTTTATTATTTATTGTATATAATAGTTGAATGTATCAAATAAAAATATGAACAGTCTCATTATATATTGAACAACCCTCGTATTTTATATATATTTTATATGTGCTTTTAACAAATGTAATTGTTTGCCCAAAAATGACTTAACAGATTTTATGTAGAAAGAAATGATTCCAAGCATTTCTATATACACAAAAATTGTATACGTATAATGTTCAGCGTATGGAAATAATACATCGTTCTTACTATTTTCTCAAGTTTCTTCTGTAAATGCTTATTAATCTTTTGCTGAATGCACTTTACATGAACTTCATAGTTTTTCCTTGTGAAATCATTAAAACGTTAATATCAAGCAAGTATTTTAGAGCTGTTTAAAAGTAATCAAAGTAATCGCAAATTCTAATAAGGTGTGGCTTTCCTCTCCATTTAATAACATATTCCATATCTAAACAAAATTAAAACGTGGATCAATCATGACAGAGTCGAGTATGAGGTCGCTAAGTTTAATTAGCTACCCAGAGTATACGTAATATGTTTTGATTTATAGATTTTGAAATATTTTATTCCGGTTTATTCTTTTAAACAAACGATCCTTACTTTTAATTTCCTTAAACGATTTGTCCTCAATAAGGGAGTTTGCAGTTATTGATTGTCTGCATTGTGGACAATTCTGTTTCCGCTTCATCCACTCTTTTCACGCAGTTTGTACAAAATCGATGTCCACAAGGAGTCATTGACGAATCGTCTATTTCATTTTTGCAAATTGTACACTCGAATATTTCATCAATTGTGCTATCCTAGTAAATACAACAATGTTGATCACTTAAACAAGATGTAATATTTGCGAACTACATGTGCTTCACCCTACAACGCTGAGTAATACATCTTCTTGTTATTTTTATAATCTTATAGTTAAATGTGTTGAAAGCTTACCCATAATGAGCTGCGGGTCTTCTTTTTGTTCAATTCTCACCTTGAGAATTGAGCATACCTAAATTTATTATGGCCAGTATACTTTGCTACCATACTGAATAAAATGTATACAGTTACTTTTTCTTAAATAATAGGAAATACTAACCTAAAGGTTATTTAAAACACAAAGCGATCTTAGAAAAAGAAGTAATTCATTTCAACAAAATTTTTGCCCTTGATACTTTTAATATAGTCATATGTAAAAAAAAACCATCTTTTCTGTTTCAGTTTTTATTTCATTTCTATATATTATTACACAGAATTCGCAGGCACGTATCCACCGGGCGAAGGGAGGGCGTAACAAATGTATGCATGTATGTGTTTATGTATGTGTATGTGTGTGTTCGTGTATGCGTGTGTGCATGCGATTAAAGGCCATTATACCTCAAAAATGTTTTTATTTTTATTTCTCAAAAGCTGTTTTTTATTGGTGTACTTTTATGATATCCAAAAATTACTCACCGGACAGTTAGCTGAACCATCTTGTACTCTTGTTTCCTTTTGTAAATTAATCCATGTATAGTGATCTTGAATCTAATATGGAAGACAAAATACTTCTTTGTTTACATTTTACTACTATAATAACAAATAATTTTACATTGAGTGCTACTTTCTTCAGATGATAAACATGAATCAAGCTCTATAACCATTATTTAAGCGTTATAAATATCATGCGTGTCTTTCCTAAAGAACAAAGAATCTTATATATTTTAAACTTATAACAAATGTGTTAATGTTTCATATCACAATTTAAAGAAGCTCCATTTAAGTCAGAAATCTTAAAAACATACACATTAGAATTTTTGAATTTATCAAGTTAAAGTTACATTTAATAAATTTCATAAAAACAGAAATAGCGACATTTCATTAATAAATTGGGTTTTATATCGACTCCAGATCTTATTTTGGTGTCCAGACAACCAAAATGAGTTTTATAAGCATACAAAATGGACAACCTCATTGTGGCGAAATCGGAGGTACAATATCTTTTGCATTCAGATCATCCGTACATTAAT